TGATTTGAACCATAAAATTGGGTCAACATGTTGCGTTTGAGTCCTTGAGATCATGATTCAAGTCATTAGATTATGTACTAGGTCAAAAGTCAATGATCAGTCATTCTTAGTAAAAACCCTAATTTTGACAATTTTGCCCCTTTGATGATTTGAGTGCTTTTCTTGAGGAATTGTGATCAAAACTTTATCAATTGATGAATATAACTTCAAAATGTTGATTTTGGCCAAAAATCATGAAGTTTGACTGTATATTGATCACAATTGACTTTTCACCCAATACAACTGATTTTCAGTCATCTGAGCAATTGACTGGGCAAATTTGTGATGTGAGACTTGAAACTTGGTATGAGCAATCTTGGAGACCTATAATTAACCATGAAAGTCATTTAAGGCATCAAAAGTACAATTGTCCTTGAGAAAACCAAAACCCTAATTTGGAGGCTCAATGCTTAGGAGGTGAGCTTGTCTGATCAAACCCTTGAGAACCCTTGAGGATTTGAGATCTTTGGTGAGAAATGTTTTGAGAAGAGAGAGGGAAAGGTTTAGGGTACAACACATGGCATATTGTAGTACTTCGATCCAATGACGTTTTGTAGGATATTGATCCAATGATGGTGATTAGGACTTTGGTCTAGTGATGATGGTAGGACAATAGTCTAGTGAAGGTCTCAATCCCATAGTGTGGATTGAGTGCAAAATTATGAAGTACTGTATTTCCAAGTGGGAATCGATCCTATTGGTGAGGATCTTTAGAGATAATGATGACTGAGTCATCAATGAAGTTTTGGTACCACATGCATGAGTCTGTGAAGTTGTATTATATTCTATGTGACATTGCATAATGATTTGATTTGATGATACTTGGTGATAATTAGCGTGTAAGGATATGTTTATGTACTTTGTTACAGTTGTGTAGGTGTGAGTATAGCATGCGATTCTGATGATGTGTGATGCCTTACCTATGCGCATATCTATTATATTTATTCATTATGTCTTTTATGATGATTATGATTTAATCACCCTTTCTGCTTGGAAATGTTGCCTCTATCCGTGGGTAAATTACATGTGATCAATATTTGCATGACAAAGAATTAGAGGATAGATTCAGAGTGTGTTTATTCGCTTTCTGTTGAGTAGAGTGGGTCTTGCTCTAATATGTAACATTAGGGATGGGATCGTTGGAATTAAGAACTATGTTCTTTGTTTTGTTTCTAAGATGTTGGGTTACTTTTCATGATACCCGAGTTATTTTGAAACTCTATTTATGAATCATGAGGTATGAGGAGATTTTGTGAAGTATTTATAATAAGATATTTTGAACTATAAATTCCGCTGCGAGAAGTATGGATATTTCTATTGATTATTATCTATGAAGTATTTTGTCCTAAATAATTTCGAAACCCGTGTTACGAAGCAGGACTATGTTTGGTATCACGTTTACATGAAGAAGTGACGCCCTTTCGTGGTTTTAATTTGTTTTATTTTCATAAGAATATATGCGGAAAATATGTGGGTTTAGAAGGGTGTTACATATCCATTACAATCCTGAAAGTGAATACCAAGATGAAATGATTGTCCAACACTAGCTGGAATAGAGGGACACTTTTTGTTTATGACTTCTAAGAGGTCATCATTACCATTAAAGGTTCTTGGGGTTAAGGTAAAATACATTTTTGGAATGGTTTGGAGATGGTAAGAATGTGAGATGAGATGGAGAATATATATAGAGACAAAGAAAGGAGAAGGCTTGGTCAATAGAAGAATTTATCACCTTGCTAGAGGTAAACAAACTTTGGGAGACACAGCAATAATTGACAGAGATGAGAAAATGACAAAATTCAACTACCAACATATACCTGAATATAAAATGCATGAGGTCATAACAAACAAGGAAGAGAGTATATCAAGATTTCTTGATAATTGAAAAAAGATATTTTTATAGAGAAAGAAGGTTTATTATGAAAAGGAAAATTTATTGGGTAAACATGTATGAGATTTAACAGATAGAGAGCATATCTTATATCTATAAGCATAAAGGTACAATTATATAGTATCCAGTTGAAGACAAGAGATTACACAACTAGGATATTATTAGCAAACGTAGACACCTACTTAATTTAACTTTTATTAAAGGCAGATAGGGATACTTAAATAGGAAATAGGAAACGTATAAAGAACGAGAAAAGCTTTGATGCAGATATTTGACATAACATAGAAATGAATGAAAGTCACTTATATGCATAATGAAAAATTCCAAAAGGATGATAAGACACATAAGCAGTTGTAAGATACAACTATTTTTCAATATCTATTTTTCAAGAAAATCTCTTGTTGTATCACATCAAATGTCAGGCATGATTCAAGAAGACAGTTGTTCTTCAGTTAAAACATAACCCTTTCGCTTTACATCTAATGCATTAGACTTTTCTTTTTTTAAGGGGTTACCAAGATCTTAAAACTAAGATGGTTTCTTCTTTGAGCCTTTCTAATTATTTGAAAATTTCTTTATGCTAGACGAAAGCGATTTTAAATAATTTTATTTGTCTATTTATTAACATTTGAAAGAAAAGAAACTTGAGAAACAAAATACTCTATCGGAAATCATGTAAATTCTAACCTATAATATTATGCTTTATGATGAGTTTACCTTCTAGTTTTCAGCCATTCAGTTAAGCACTTCTTGTATTTCTTATTTCAGTCTTTATCCTAAAAGCTGTTCTTCAGAAGAGGTGGCTTTTGATTGAATTCTTGAATTTTTGCAGCATCTCCGTTACTTCTGAGATTGAAAGATAGTTCCCTACCGCTGTAGTTTTCTTGTCTGGTTCTTGACCTTCCTATGTATACTCCAAGACATTTCATCTGAAAAACTGGCTTGAATCTTCCTGTCTTGTTGACTTCCTTTGAGCAAATATCTTTTAAGTAGTTGTGCTTTCTTCTGAGATTGAAAAGAAGGGACTTATGGATGATCATATTATGATTTCTTCACTTCCTGTTCTTCAGTAGTTGCTTTACTTTCTTCTTCAGATTATGAAAGTAGTTTCCATATATTTCAGAGATGTTCTGATTTGATCTGCACCTTGGTGGATGGAATTTTCTCCTCTTGACTTCCAATTTTTCTGTGCAACACTTATTCAAAGCTTTCAGGCGACTCGTCTATCTGATTTCTTAAGTACATATCTTTGAAAAGCTTTGGTATTTTTAGAGTTTTTGATGGATCTTCCAGTTATGACATTGATTGGATCCATTTCAGCTTGCAGCGGTTATTTGAAAGATAGCTTCAGTTGAGTTAAAGTGTTGAATGTAGACCTTTGCTTTTGATGGAAAACTTCTTTTGATTGAGAAGATGAAATCCCTTTCCATCAGGTACTTGAGCCTTCAGAATCCTAAGAACTTGTTTCAAGGATTCTGTCTTCAAAATTCTGATTCTTGCCCAGAGTTTTGAAACATCTACAGAACGGGTTTTGAATCAGAAAAGCTTTTTATCATTTGAGTAGCAAACAACTACAAAATTTTCTCTAACTGGATCTCTTTACACGGTTAAGTGTTTGATTCTTAAATCAATAACAGAGTCGAGCTTTGATACCAATTGAAGGTAGAGAAAACACAAGAAAGGGGAGTTTTAATTTTATTCTTAGAAAACATTCCCTTTTAGAAAATCTAAGCACTCAAATGATGATAGATATAAGGATAATGAAGAGAAGATGACACAAGTATTTTATCCAGGTTCGCCGTTAACTAGTCTACTCCTGTCCACACCCGCAAGGATGTGCTGTAACTGGTTTTAAATTCAGAGTCGCCACCCTTAATTTTTATCCTAAGGGAATATAAAGGAATAAACTTAAAAAAGTTCAGAGATTCTAGGTCTGACTCGGTTCTAGACGAAGGGAAGGTGTTAGGCAACCCACATCTACCATGTTCAAATTTAATGTTTTAATGTTTTATTAGGGGAACTCGCAACGATTTTAGTCATATGCCTACGTATCCTCTTATGGGGAATCAAAGTCTCAATTCGTAGTTCGTAATTGGTTGGTGTTTTTTTATGGATTGTGTATAATTACTTTCAAATTTATCCTTGAACCTTGTCTGAGTTTTGTAAAAGAGTGATCGTAGACGCAATTCACTGTTAATTTTGAATGTAATTCTCCTTAATCTTTTTTCAAAAATATATGGATTTTTGATTATGTTAGTAGAAAATTGATTTGATGTTGGTTGACTTTATTAAGACATAGAGCGGGAGGAGTCTGATATAGTGTCCTTATCACGTGAGCAAATCTTGGCGACGTGTCACTCACGGTGGTGAATTTGGTGAATTGCGTAGATTTTAATTGTTTGATTTTGAATAATAAACTGATAGACGATGTGTCGACCGATTTAATTACACTAAGATGGACATCCTATTATTTATAGAATATTTAAATTAATTAATTAAAAGAAGTTTAAATTATATTTTATTTTAAGAAAAATATTTGATATCTATTCCTAAATCAAATGAATTAGTAAATAGAGGAGTAATATTGAAAGTAGGGTGGTGTTAGAAAAATATTTATAAATTTGAGCCCAAGGCCCAAACTAATAAATAACCCTAATCCAAATTATAGTTTATTGATTAATTTTAAAAATAAAAAGAAACTAATATATGCTCAGAGGTAGCGCCCCTCCTTTACCATTCCACTCTTATTAATTTGCAGTTAAGCTACCAAGTACTTTGACTTTTCTTCACAATTAAAATATGGTTATCAATTAAAACATGACACGTGGCAAAACATTTACAAAAAAAAACATAACAATGATATTACTAAGTGGGTGCACCGAACCGAGAAAGGAAAAAGCAAAAAACTTCACACATTCTTTCCTTATTACTCTTCAAAATTTCTCAAAAACAAAATTCACTTTCAACTTGTCCCATTCTCACTTTGTATTCTCAAACTGATAAATCAAACAAGAACAAAACATTCGCAAATCAAATATATGAAACAATAGAGAAAAAATAGATATCGAAAATGGCGAATGGGAGTGATTCGGCGGACACTGTACGGTTGCGCGATCGGTCATTGTTCGTGATAGTCTAATGGGCGTTCACGATTCTGTGACGGTGGTGATTGAGATCGGCGGTGGCTTCGGGCGTCGACTTCAGTCAGATCTGCATCCGTGGCGGAGGTTGAACGCAGAACCAGAAGAAGTGATTTGCGATTAGATCAATGATGGCCATGATGCGCGAGATTGGAGCTTCGGTCTGGACGGAGGGACCTTCAATGGCGGCGACGTTGGAGGTCAGCCGTTGGTGGTAGCTACAGATCTGCGGGATATCAGAATCACCAGTCGCGGCGTTGTAGCCAGCTGATGATTGTCGTGGTGATAGTTGTGACAAGCTACAATTTGGATGCTGGTAGTGTTCGACGAAGGTGAGAGCAACAACGATTTGTGAACCTTGATTTGTTGGCTTCTTTGGGGCTCGATTTGGAGAGGGATTCAGATTTGGTTTCATCTCCTTCTGTTTATTTTTCTTCTTCAGTTAAACTTTTTTTTTTCTGCAAAAAACTCAAATCGCATAACTCTTTTCCTGCAAAACTCAAATCATGTTGATGTTTAGAGTTTAAATTTTGTTATGATTGTGTTGTTGTGTAACCTTAAATTTTTGTGTCCGAACTTGGTGCAATGTCATTCAATAAATTTGTTGGTGGTCACAATTGTGCAGGTTTCGCTCATGGTGATGTTTCTATGGATGATGAATTGAAATTGCTGTAAGGTGTAGGATATTGTTTTTATGGTTTGTGAAAAAAATAGAAAAAGCTTTTTGTACTATGCGCGGTAAGTATACACATGAGATAATTATTTGGTTAGAAAATTGGAAATTTTTTTTTGGAATAACTATGTATTAAAAAAAAAATCACAAATAACTATGTTTCGGAAAAAATTACACAAATAATCATGTCCAGATGACTCCTCAAAGGAGGAGTTATCTCACTTGGCGCCTACACCTACCTTTTAAGGGGAGGCGCCATCTCACTTGGCGCCTAGGTGCTTAGGGCTTGCCCTAAGCCAAGTGAGATGGGGCCTTAGTGCATTTGCTAGGGCAATTTTCACGTTTTTTTTTCAATGCGGTGCGTTACGTATTCGATATAGGATCAACAAAATTGACTTTTTATTTACAAAATATGATTACACACATAAGTATTACATAAAAAAACAGATTAATCACTGGACCCCCAGAACCCGGTAATGACCCTCGGTTCCGCATCACCGTCCTCGCCTTTTCCGTTCTGGGTTTCGTCGCGTTTCCTGCTGTGGCAGGGTCGATGGCCCAGCGAAGTCAATGCGTTCCGGATTCATGAAATTAGTCAGATCTCCATATCTAGAAGATCCGTTTTGGTATAGTCATTTACCCATACCCTCAAAGTTTGGTCGTGTTGGCGGTGGGTGGGGTTCCATGGTTGGTCTCTAGTATTGGTCGTCTGAGTACGGGGGTAGAAAGGAAATGAATCTTGGGGTGTTTGGTATTGAGGATGTTGGGTGGTTTGGTGATATTGTGGTTGATGGTAAGTTGGGTCGGTTGGTTCATAATCTTCCGACATTCCCATATCAGGGCTAAGGTTGGATGTTGAGGGGCACATATTGGGATATGCAGAAGACTGAGATTGTGTGTGGGGTATGCGAGTGTGTTGGTATTGTGATTGAAATTGCGGTTGGGTGTGAGACATATGGGGGTATTGGTACTGAGGTGGTGATTGTGGTTGGTTGTGGGGCATGTGGGTGTAATTGTATTGTGGTGGCGACTGTGGTTGGGTGTTTGTGGTTCTGTTTTGTCTGGGGGTTGGTGGGAGGTTGATGTGTGTTGGGTTTATTGTTGGGGAAATGAGGGTTGTGCCCATTGTGTTTGTGGGTCAACCAAATACCTTAGATGAGACACGTGCATTTCAGGGTTACTAACCGATATGTACCAAGATAAATATTGATCAGTGTGTCAGCATATTACCATGATTGAGGAAAACTGGGAATTGTAAGACATGTCTATGACGCCTCTGCTACATCTTACACCATTTTGGAGCAAAGTCTTTCCAGTTGGTAAAACCCCATTGGGCGTCGACCCTTTTGAGATGCCACGGGGACAAACAAGTCGGATCGCTGGGTATCTCTTGATGCATTCCAAATTGCATCTTCACACGATCGCCGTGGTGCATCTTCATAACATTGAACCGTATGATTGCAGTCTTGGCGCTCCAAATTGTTGCATCCTCGGGGTTTGGTTCATGGCCCAAACCCAAATATGGTCTCCAGATAAACTGCGCATAAAATTAAATCAGGTTAATGAAAACGTAATATATAAATTATTTTAGAAGTAGAAAAGTTGAAAGGTACGACGTACATCATCCGGGCCAAGGTGATCCAATAGATTGCGGTATAGTGCGACATTGAATCTTGGAGTCTTGCCGTAATCCATACCCCTCACGCAATACCTAAAGGAAATGAAAAATATTTTATTTTTATCATATATTTGGTGAAGAGATGAATAATAATAAATGATATAACTTGATGACTTAATTTGTTGCATACGAGAAAACAAATGTGTTGTTGTTGACGGGGTTTAGGGACTCCATCCTCCACCAACCCCAGGCTTGAAGTAAAAAAACGCAGCCATAAAATATACATTTTTCCTTGATTGCATTTTTACACAAGGAACTGTATAGGTGGGCTAAAACAGCAGAACCCCAACTATACTTTCTAGTTTTTTCGAAGTCTCTAAGTAAATTTAAATACATAAAATTTACACTATTTCCCGTACTTTCAAGAAATAAAAAGGTTCCAAATAGTATCATTATATAAGTTCTAGCTTTTATTACCTTGGCTAGCTCGGAGGAATTTTCGTTTAATTCCAAAGTCGCATAATGATTTTTAAGCTAAGTTAGTAGTATACTCTGACCTCTCGCACCACCACCTTCAATCATATCCCTGCCCAACAATTCTTCACACAAAGAATTGGGTTGTTGAACCGACCCGTTAACGGCCTTACCGTCGACAGGGAGACCCAGTAACATGTACACGTCCTCTAGCGTGACGGTACATTCACCTATTGGTAGGTGTTGCACCCCAAAATTTACCCTCTCATGTTTTCCAAAGTCTTCCCCCTGCATGGTTGACCAGAAACCCTTGCCTAAGGAAAAAGAAAATTTTTGAGTGGTGCTTTAAGTATCTTTCGATTGGCATTCTGAAAGACCCTTCGATTGGTATTCTGAAGGAGCCTTTCGATTGGCATGGATCATTCCCTTCGATTGGCATTATGGACAAGCACTTCGATTGGCATTGTGTCAAGGCCTTCGATTGGAATTCTGAAAGACCTTTTCGTTTGGCACCCTGGGCCAAGCCTTTCAATTGGTATGCCAAGGGATCCTTCGATTTAGCATTGTGTCAAGGAAGCTTCGACAGGCATGTTAATCACGTCCTTCGATTAGCATGAACATCACCTTTCGATTGCTCTGTTAACAAAGCCTTTCGATTGGAATTTTAATTAGTACCCTTCGATTGGTATCTGAACAAGATCTTTCGATTGGCGTAGCAAAGGACTCTTCGATTGATATTTCAATAAATACCCTTCGATTGATGTTTGGACAAGGGCCATTTGAAGAACTCCTTCCAGGCCATTCGAAAGAGGCCATCAAGAGGGCACTCAAAAAACATGTCCAGGTACACTGAACATGAGAAAATGGCATGTTTTCCTTGCAAATATGGCAAGAATTCAATTGATTGTGGGTTAAATTCCTGAGTTAAAGGCCAAATTCTTGCCTTTTTTTGTTCCTAACTCCACAAGAGCTGATTCGACCAGATGGATTCTTTTTAAATCAGGACCAATCGAAGAGCAGGGCCTGAATGCATTCAAAAATCAAAAGTGTCCAGGTTCATTCAAGATTCCAAAGAGACATGAATATTTCAAAAAAGGAAATCTTTTAATATGTCTGATTCTTGTCTCATGGCTTTAAAGGCCTAGTTAAATGGCTGTCCCTTGCCATTTTTCATACACCCTCACACTCCTATAAATACGAGGCCAGTGACACATTACAGAGGACGGAGAAAAAACAAAAAAGACAGAGAAAAAACGGAGGATTTGGAGATACGCTGCCCACAAATCCACCAAAGGTTGTCAACATTTTCAGAAGTAATCCAAGCCGAAGCAGCCATTCTGCAAACATCTCCACACCCAGAGCCACAGATCATACATCTTCAATTGGTAAGGTTTTGCAAAACCAAAATTGCACCTTCATGACATTTAAATACACATTACATATGTATTCTTGTTATTACTGATTATGTTGCATGTAAGCTACATCGCAAAGATGAGATCGTGCCATTGCTTGGGCACGATCTGAGTTTCTCCTTCGAATCTCAGGATAAAACAAACCCAGACCCAGATTCAGCAGATTCAAGTTGAGGGAGGATCCGAATTGGGAGGAGATTCGAATAAGGGGGGTAAAGTCCCCCCTGGATCTTTAACATTTGTCTCATTTTGCAGGAAATATCTTCTCAGAATCTTGTTCAGAGCTTCGAAGCTTAGCAGCTTAACTTCAAACTGGATCTAGGGTTCCCAGATCGAAGGATGACATATCCAGATCGAACACCCTCAAAGTTCAACCCCTCATGCACCTTCGATCAAGCCTCTTCACTGGATCGAAAGACATCCCACACCTCTTTCGATCCAGGCCTCCAGAATTATACCTTTCTTGATTTACTGCCTGTTCCTTCGATTTCATCTTTATTTTGACTATTTTATTTCCTTTTTTTAATCAACATAAAATCAATTAAAAAGAAAAACCACAAAAACATTAGGCTAGTTTTTTCTATTAAATTAACTTTGTTAATTAATCATTTAATTATCTTAACATTTTCTCAAAACTAAAATTAAGAAGATTTAGATCATTTTCCCAAAATAAAATAAAACAACAAAAAGATTTTATTCTTAGGATTTTTAGAGGTTATTTTCAGATTCGCGCGCGTTTATTTTATTGTAACTGCCTACTGGTTTGTAATAGCTTAACTAAGACTTTACTGCTTTATTCCCCCAATTTTGGACATGTAAATAATCCCCGTCCCCGAAGCCTTGTAATAGCGTAGGATTTACAATTCTCGCACTTTAAATTCCTATACATATATTAACTACTTAGATGTATGCTAACTAGGATTGCATGACAAGATTAAACTTTAAATTAAAATCAACCATAGCTCACCATAACATGTACAAAGATAATATAAACTGAAAATTGACACACTCACACATGCCACTCTTAGGATACACCTCACTTGGTTGCCTCGAACGTGGTCATTGAGTATAGGAAGTTTTAGAGGTCGTCCTTTTGTCCAAAGATCATAAGTTGCCTCGAAACGGTTGCCTAGGAAAAAATGATCTAAGACATTAGGGTTACCGCTAAGGCGTCCTACCATTGCTTTAGTGGCCACACATCCCTTAAATCGAATTGACTTGAAAACTCCAACGACGGTGCTACCTACTCCTCAATAGTGGGATAACATTGTCTAAAGGACATTTACACAGTTTAATTCCTTTTTGAGTAGGTAGAGGTTCTTAAGTACTTGCTCCTTTTAAAACAAAACAAAACTTTTCGCACTTACACTCTCTTCAAAACAAAAACTCTTTTCAAAATCCACAAACACAAAGAAAAACAAACTTTTGAAAACATAGTGAGCAAGTACCTAAGAGCCCGTGGAT